CCTCCTCCTGCTGGTCGGCCTTCCTCTTCAAGTTCAGGTGGATGGGCTGGCGCGGAGACTGAGGCTTCGCAGGTGGAGTGGCCGGGGCGTTTTGCCAGCGACCCATCCACTCATCCAGGCGCTTCTCCAAGCATTGCTGCGGGAAGTCCGGCTCCACGGGCTCCGACTCGGCGTCGACGAGCTCATCGAAGATGTGGAGAGCCTGCTTGCATCCGATGCTGTTGTAGTCCAACAGCTTCCGCATCTTGTCCGAGTCCAGCACTCGGCTCCCCATTCTCACAAGTCGCGGAAGGCTGGCGGACAGCACCAGGTCCGCTGCCGCATCGCGCGCCTCGCGTTCGCACTCGGAGCGGGACATCGCAGTCTAGGTTTCGTGAAGGCTGTCTCTTTTATTGAGCAAATCAGCTACATGCTGGCTTGTTGAACGCACCAAGGCAAGCAGGCGCTCGAGTCACAAGCAAGCATTGTTTGACCCGCACCTTGGCGGTGATCTGGAACCTCCTCTCTCAAGGCAGCCTGTTGAAAATTGAGACGTTGGGCAAACCAGTACTTAAAAACGAATCCCCCCGGGCCCGTTGGGCAGACCAGTACTTGAAAAAAATCCCGAAACCCCTCCAGACCCGTTGGGCGGACCAGTATCAAACCCAAACGGGGTAGCTCTCATCCCACACTCCCTGAGGTCCTTGCTGTATGTCCTTGTGCTATATGGCTCTTACAAGGCAACCCACTCAACCACCACAGTCCCCGGGCTCCTTGCTCACACGCCACCTAGGCTCCTTGCTATATGTCCTATATGTACTATATGGGTCTCATACGTCAACCCACTGAACCTCCACAGTCCCCCATGTCACTGCTATATGTCCTATATGTACTATATGGTATCGAGACTAAAATACACTAAATATGCTACACAATGCATATTTGGTACATGTTGAGATGCTATATGCATAGTATACAGCTCTGCGGGTTGGCGTGTGAGAGCCATAGAGGGTGTGGGGGTTCAGCGGCTTGGCGTGTAAGAGCCATATAGCACATATAGGACATATAGCAAGGAGCCCGGGGAGTGTGAAGGTTCAATGGGTTGGCGTGTGAGAGCCATGAAAACTGAGACGTTGGGCGAGCTAGTATCAAACGAGGTTGGGCGAACCCGCACTAAGAGTCGTTGGGCGAATCCGTACTAAGAGTCGTTGGGCGAACCCGGTCGTTGGGCGAACCAGTATCAAACGAGGTTGGGCGAACCAGTATCAAACGAGGTTGGGCGAACCAGTACTAAGGGTCGTTGGGCGAACCAGTACTAAGGGTCGTTGGGCGAACCAGTGCTATCCCTACGTGCCCGCTCGGCACCGTGCCCGCTCGGCACACCCTACCCTAAAAGTGCCCGCTCGGCACTGTGCCCGCTCGGCACTGTGCCCGCTCGGCACTCCTAACCTAAAGTGCCCGCTCGGCACTGCCTACCCCCTATCGGCACGTTTACCTAAGTGCCCGCTCGGCACTGTGCCCGCTCGGCACTGTGCCCGCTCGGCACTCCTAAGTGCCCGCTCGGCACTCCTACCTAAGTGCCAGCTCGGCACTCCCAAAAAAAGAAAAAGAAAAAAAGGCCGCGGGCCCGAGCGATTTTTCTCCGGTGGGCCGAGGTCGGGCTTCGCGGTGCCGGCGCTCACGGCTGTCCTGCGAGGGAAGCGCGACGGTTCGGAAAGGAAAAAACGAGGACGGGGGGTCCTTTCCGCGAGCTCTTCGGGGCCGGAGAGGAGGAAGCGGCCTGACACGAGAGCGAGGCCGAACAATTTCAACGGACGACGGATGAGCCTGTGGCGTCCTCAGCCGTGCGACCTCCTCGCGGAGAGCGCGCGCATCGGCCTGACGGGTGCAAAGGGGGCAGAAAAAAAAAGACGTCCGGAAGCGAGCCTGATAGCCTTGCGTCCAGCGCTTCTCCGCGAGGACCTCCGCCTCCAGCACCGCGATCCGCGTGTCCTGACGAGGAAAAAAACACCCAAAAAGGGGGGAAAAAAGGGACGAAGACGGGCCTTCCCGGCCACCTCCCTCATCAGGACCACCTGCAAAACGGATTTGCGTCCCCCGCCCAACCCCGGAAGAGAGAGCCGCACCTTGGCCTCCTCCGCCGCGGTGGCGCGAGCCTCCGCGGCGGTGGCACGAGCCTCCGCCGCGGATGGCTCTATGTGACTTGGCTCTATGTAACTTGGCTCTATGTAACTTGGCTCTATGTAACTTGGCTCTGTGCAACTTGGCTCTGTGCAACTTGGCTCTGTGTAACTTGTCCAAGGGCTCCGCACGGAAGAGCCCTTCGCGATGCTTTCGGGAAAAGGAGCGGAACGATTGGGTCGGTCGGGCTTGTGTTTCTTATTGCTTGTTCCTTCTTGGCTTGAAGCAGTGAACAGGATTCTAACAAATTGAAAAAACAAAAGAAAAAACAGGGTTCCCGACCGACGGCTGACCGACGGCAGACCGACGACCGAATACCGCAATTATGGGAGTTTTCCGAATATCGAGGGGTCGATATAGTGCCGGCACGGGGCTCCCTGCAGCATTTTAGCTTGCATGGATTCTTCGCAGGACAAGGTTTCCTCAACAGAGCTGCATCAAAGCCGGTTTGGAGAACCCCCTCTAAAAAGAGAGGTGCGCAAAGCAACTAAAGGCGTCTTGTGGCAGTTTTTTTGGAGGTTTTGCTGGGGGCTGCTTTTGAAGTTTTGACGCTTTTGATGCTTTTGACACCCTGTCAAACCGGAATCCCTGGGCTCGCCTCCGCCGCTGCGCCTGGCCACCTTCCCACTACCTCCCCACTGCCTCTTCGCACCGCTGCTGAACCACTGGACCAACAACGGCGGCGAAACACAGGGGAAGTCGGGTTCGATAAGCTCAGAATCCTGTCAAGACTCCGAATTCCGACCTTGGGAGTTTTTCGCAGTGAGTCCTCCGACGCCTCACTTCATGATAGCCGCCGCACGTTTCCGGAGTTCACTCCTAAGAAAACATGTTCGAAGGACCCGTCACACGGGCAGGGCTTGATACTGTGCTGCCAAACGGGTTTTTAGGCTTGATACTGGGCTGCCCAAACGGGCGAGGCTTGATACTGGGCTGCCCAAACGGGCGAGGCTTGAGACCGAGCTGCCCAACGGTTTTTTTCAGGCTTGATACTGGTCCGCCCAACGGAGTTTGGGGTTTGATACTAAGGGGTGCGGCACCATCGTGAAAACCCTTCCCAAAATCCTTTGTTATTTTTTTTGTGGGTGTCTCAGGTGTCTCACCTGTCTCACGACTCGTGTAAGAACTTCATGCGTAGCGCTTGGACTTTGTGTGGTTTGAGGAACTCCGCGGCTGTGTAACGGTCACGCGCGCACCGTGGAAGATCTCCAAAGTCGGTGCCCGATACCCTGCAGAATGTGCAGGCCAGGCATTGGGGTTAGGCTGACACAACCCGGCGTTGCGCAGGGGGCTCTGAGCAGCTTTGTTCGTGTTGAGACTGCTGTACGGACAGCTCGGGCTATTTCTCATGCGGCCGTGGTCCTCCAGACTCAACGCGGATTCATGTCTGTTGGAGAAGATGCGGGAGCGCGCTGCACGGTGGCGCTCACCCGAAGTGGGACTTTGTGTTGTGAGATGCAAATGTTGCCCCTTCTTACTTCTTGTTTTGGCGCCCTTTGAAAGGAACATCCCATTACATCTAGTTTTCGACAACATCCTGAACAGCGGAGTGACTTGGAGCTGGCAAGAAGCGCGACCAAGCACGGACTGGCCCGGGTCGGAGTGGTGGTGTCTGCATTAAAGACGGCGGGTTTCATTGTACCTTTTTTTTTTTTTTAAACAGCGCTACCACTCGGATTGCTCGTCAGCAAAACCACTGAGAACGGTTTCTTTTCTGGGTAAGGTGAGAGCTCCAAGAGAAGCGTTGTGGACAACAGCCACGGGCGGTGCAAATGGAAGGGATGTTGTTAAGTTGAGCGAAGCCAAGTCTGCTTGGACAAAGCAAACGAGCGTAGTGCTGATTTGCCTATCCTTGCCTGCAAGGGGGCAAAGTGCTTGAGCAGACATGTTGAAGCAGGAAGATTGGAGCATGGAGAAGGGCTTGGCAAAGCAATTCTACGAGTATTTTGGTGGAGACATCCACACCACCAAGCAGGCTTTTAACACGCTCAGAGACAAGAAGGAAGCATTTGACCCACTTGTAGTTGTGAGGTTCCTGGATATGTCAAAGACACAGAGGCAGAAGGGCTCACCTGGAAAACATTGCCCAACAAGGTTTCTCTTCGTGGAAGATATTATGGCGGACAAAGGTGCAAGGATGATTGCGGAGAAGAATGTCGGGGCGTGATTGACAAGGGCGCCATCAGCCATGACACACATTCGTTTTGCAAAATCATGTTCCATGAGGGCAATAATATTGATTCCGCAAAGCAGCGTCTGCAGTGAAACCAGCAAGGCAACGACGGAAAGCGAATTGATTGCAGGTCAGCTTCAAGCTATTAGTCGGAGCCGGACCTAAAACGGCGTTCAGATATTTTTGTTAGATTCCATTCAGGGTCACCAAATTTTCGCTGTGTGACTTTCATCTTTCAGCTGCAAACAGCACTGATGGAGTTGCTGCTTGTTGGCAGTCCACAACTTGGCGTGCAGAAGGCCCTTGCCCACTGTTGACGACCTTTGCCCATATGGGACATGCTTTTGTGTTCCTGGCTCAGTTCCATCATGCTTAGAAACATTGATGCATAGAGCCAGCAAGAGTCGTGAAACCGTTCAGCCATTAGGAGACCTTGAGATTCCTTCAGATGGTAGTCCTTTTTTGTAGTGGTGTCCTACGGATTACGGAGACAGCTTGATCGGGGATCCCCTTTTGCACACCCCATGTTTAGCTTCCTGCCATAAACCAAGAAGCCACTTAAGCATACCATTAGATTTGTCAGCCATTCAGCCATTTAACTTTCAGCCATTCAGCCATTTAGCCATTCAGCCATTCAGGCATTTGCTTTCAGCCATGAAGCGACTTGATGTCCACGATTGACGAGTTCTCGCTGGCCGTAGAGCCAGCGACCGCTCCGCGCCCTCCGGTCTTCGCGTTTTGGGAAAGCACCGGGGGCGATAGCGCAGAGGCGTTGGGTGGCAAAATTGGATGAAGCCGCCAGACATCTGGTTTTAGGTTGCTAGTTTTTGCAGGATCCAAAGAAACGGCCTTGATGCCAAATGTCGGGAATTTGGTGCTTCCCGAATCTTGTTACGGAGGTGGACCGTTCATAAGCGTGTTAGAAGGGATTCTGCGCAATCACCAATTAAATATCCTGAAAGGGCGGCTGGATCACGATCATGTCACAAGCGCTCTGTATTTACGGGAGCTTTGGCCACCACATATCAGAACATCGTGGGGAAATCAGTGGGCTTCCAGACAAAGCCCCTGAACGCGATGCCACAATGCCACAAAGCGGCCCAGTTTTTCTACCCCCCCCCGTTGCCCTGGCTTCGCCGCGAGGTGTTGCTGCGCTGGCACCCAAAGATGCCACAGGAGCTGCCGAAGGAGGAGGAGCCGAGCCTGGGACTGGTGGAGTTTGAGACACACCTCAAAAGGTTCAGGAAACATTATATCCCCTGATGGGATATCGTTTTCCTGACACCTCAGGAAGTTTCACTTGAACATTATTATATCAGGAGCTTGTGGCACATATGAGTTGCCCCTCAAAAGTGGTTGGACCGAAATTCCCATCACGAGGTTTCGGGGTCTGCAATTAAGCCTGCCCATATGGGCCATGGTCTTTTTTGTCCCCTTTACTTGGATAGATATGGTTTTTGAATGAGCACTGAATTGCTTGAGGACACCACACATTCATTGTAACTTGTATGAGGTTCGGCTAACATGTCCATTGTTCATGGTCAATTTGAGATGCTGTTTATTGAGGCCATAGCTTCATTTCCTCACCAAGGATTTGCACGGTGCAGCTTTGCATTCGCGGCGAGACGCCGGAATTCTTGGAAGCGACCTTGCAGCAGCGTCTCGCTTGGAGTATCTGGCAGTTTTTTTTGGGAGGTGAAAAATAGTAGAAAGGGGGTGTGTGGGGGCTGGGTTTTGATATTGGGAGTATCATTTACCCTACTGCCTCTCAACCTCCCATCGTGCCTGTTCTGTTTTATCATCAAGATTTGGTCTATCCTCCTTTTCAAGGGGGTTTCTGAGGACTAAATTATTTACATTTTTTATTTTTCAATAAGGCACCTAATGACCGCCTTATTCATTTCTTTAAAGTTTTCAATAAGACAGGCAACATTGCCTCATTCGTTTTAAAAAACACCAGGATTTCAAAAAGGTATGAAAAAAGAGTATTGTTTAATCTTATTCATTTGTCAAAAACCTCACCCCAAAAATTAGTATTATAACAGATGACTAACTCTATAAAAATTAGTTTTAATCATACTATAATGAAATAATATCATTTAAAACAATCTCCACTAATCATTGTCATATATTCAAGGCGTTCATAAATATCATTCACTGGTTCTACATTTATGTTTTCTTCTGTCTTTGGTTTTTCTGACTGCGGTTCTTTAACAGGTAATAGACTTTCTTTATGTCGCTTTGTTCTTTCGTGCCTCGCTTTATTATGAAGTCCTATCATTATTTTATAGCAAGGACATTCATATTGTTTATGTTTAGTTCCCTTTTCATTTGTCATATTATGATCCTCCATATACTCGATACTCTATACTCTTTTACATATTTTTCTGTTTTTTTTTTTCATTTACGAACAGTCTAACATTTTGACATTTTCAAGGTTGAGGTTTCAGACAATTTTAAGGCTTTCTGGGGGATATAAGGGTTCAATTGTATTATTTAACAATAGTATAATTAAACAGCAAATTCGTTCTTGATATGCTTGTGTTGTAATCACTGGTTCATAATCAGTTTTAAGCCATCCTCTTTGTATGTTATCTATATGATTGATAATTTTATTGAAATCTACTAGTGTTTTATAAACATTATATTTATCAATTACATTAAGTAGTTCTACTTTATAGTCATTTACATTGTTATACAGGTTTTTGAACATATGATATCTTTCTTTGCCACATTTAATTACTTGCCTAACAACATCTATTGAAGGAAACCAATGTCTTGTAAAATACCAACGAATAACATTTACATTGTTAATCTTATTCATATTGTTAAAGTCTTCTATGAAACTCTTTTTACCTTTACAAGTTGAACATTCATAAGTCATAGAATAGATATTCTGAATAATATTTTCATCAAATGACAATTTGTCAAGCACTTTGTAGTTCATATGGTTCTTACAGCATTTACACTGACAGGTTTTAATCTCACTTGTCAATGTGCTTTTATATTCATTAATTTCAATAAATTTAAGGAATTCATCAATGATGTCATTTTGTTCATCTTCAGTAAAATTATAGTTAGGGTTCATTTTCTCTATACTATATAAGTAAATATGTCTTTAAGTAGTTTTTTAAAGGGCTATTTTAAGAGCAAGATCAATATCTATGTTATGAGCTGTGGTTATGTTTTTGATGTTTAATCATATTATAAGATAGTAATATGAACAAACAGCAGTTACTTTGTCCAGTATTCAATCTCACCAGCGATACAACCACTATAACAACTCATACTATACTCACAACAATAATGTTCATAACCTTCTATGAATTGGTCAGTGTAAGTTTCAATTAAATCGCTAAGAATATGTCTCACATAATAATTGTTATTTCTATATGACTACCAGCTGTTTAGGTTAGAAAAGTTAAAATCATTATTTTTCATACATGATAATTGTTCAATTTTAATACATTTTCGTAAAATTAGACTAACTTTGTGACTGTTATTCTTACAGTATGATTTCATTGCTTGATAATACATTTTCCTATTTTTAAACCTTTCTTTTACTCCTAATTTATCAAATATGTTATCAATGTTTCTTCTATACTGCTTGTCATCATAATGTTGTCCAGTCATTTGTGTAATGTAGTTATTAAACGACTGTTTGAAAAACAATAATTGTAATTCTGCTTTCTCCAACCCTTCTTCTGGTAAATCTCTATCTTTCATAAAATCCATTTCTTTTAATTTTAAACAACGACATTTAAAGCAATCCATTTTACTATAATCATCAATCAAATTACAAACATTAACAGGCAACATATTTGCTAATGCCACCACGGTTTCACACCTTAAATTTTTATAATGACAACTACTATAATTAAACAGTGTCATTGTCTCTGATTTTTTTTTTTATTTTATTTTTTTATTTTTAATTTAAGTTTTTTTTTTGAAGGGTTGGTATTTTGGTTTTCAGTTTCATCATTTTCACTTTCAGCATCAGTAGGAGCAGGGATGTCGGTCGGCGGGGCTATTTCATAATTAGCATTTTCTTCTGACGATGATGAATTTAGCAGTATGTGTTGAAGAACTATTAACAGTGATAGGCGGAGAGCTATGAACACTAACAGGGGGCGAGGTGTTTAACTCAACTTCCTCACCAACATTTGTATTTAACCAATTCATTGTAGCACTTGCTATATCATAAGACGATACTAATGAATTCATTGTTAAATTAACTAATATCTCTGAAATTTGAATTGTGGTTATTGTAGTGTGATATGTTAAGTGTGCTACTATTTGTCCCATACTAAAACCTGACCTCATCTAAATTCTATAATCCTCATCAACAAAAATAGTTTCTTTTGTATTTATCAATGTCATCATCTTTTTTTGTCATCATCATCATCGTCATCATCATATAGATTAGGGTCGTATGTAAATGCAAATGCTTCTGCTTCAGCCTTGGTTATCAATTTGCTTTTGAAACTCTTTGAAGACCCACCTAATATTTTGTCTCATCATCAAAATTATAAGTTTGTGTCGCTTTATCATTTGGAAGGTCTGTTTGTGTTGCCTTGTTTTCTTTGTTAAGCGTTTGTGTTGCCTTGTCTGCCATCATTGCTTCTGCATTTATATATCTTCCTCATTATATAATTCCATTTTATCAAAGTGAAAATTATCCAATAACATATCTTTCTTGTATTTCTTCAATATATCTGTTGTTTTCATTTTGCTTGTCGTTGTTTGTTTGATGAGCATTTCATCAGACATAGGGCGCTTCCTGAACTCGTGTTTGAGATTAATATTCATTATATATATAAGTATTGATAACTTATGAAAATTAATCCTTTGTTGCTTTACCTTTTCCTTTCATACCTCTCCAATCTTCTATTCTTTTTCTTAGCAATTCATCATTTACTTTTGTTGTCCATCTTCCGCTGTTTATAAGTTTTTCCACCAGTCCAACTAAATGTGTTCTACCAGTTTCCTTTGTACCTTTAATATGTCTTCTTCTTTAACTGTGCTTCCTTTCCAATGGTTTATATCAGTTGAATAGTCAATGGTTTCCTTGTGTGTTCTTGTTTGTCTTTGTAGGACTGTTGATGAAATGTCAGCGTTGTCCATTATACAATGTTAATATATAAAAACTATGTGGTTCATCAGTGGCGGTCTCATATATTTTATAAGCTAGTTTCTTGCTTTCCAGTAAATTATCGCTTCCAACAATTGCTGCTAATTCTTCTTGCAGTATTTCAAGTTCTTTGAAGTTTCTATCTTTATAATAAAACAAATGACCTATATTTACTCTAATAATTGGTGGTACGGTTGATGATTTTTGACGACTGACAAGCGTTGATATTCCACTATGACGACCTCTACAAAATAAATAATTTATTAATTTGTTATTTCTTGTTATTGTTGGATTAACAGATACATCATCCAATATAACTAATATATTAAATATCTTCTTCATTCCTTGTTTTTTCTGGTATTCAATTATGTTCTTTTGAGTTTCTATAACTCTTTCTAATTCTACAACATTGAACTCATCCCACCAACAGGGTTCTTTATCAGTATCTACTTTCAATCCTTCTTTAATGTATTTCTTCACTGGCAACCAAATACTATCCAAATTTACTGATGGTGACCAGATAAAAATCCTTTCATATGCTCCTCTATAAATATCAAGTATCATTGATACAAGAAAAGTTGATTTGCCAGAACCTGACGGTCCTACAATCATCGCTCTCATCGGCAATTTAAAGACGACCTCGTGCTTACTTTGCTTACAGTCGTATTTGATTTCATCAATTGGTTTTACATCAGGCATAGCAAAAATGATATTATAAATACTTATAAAATAATAATTATATCTATTTATTAAATGGAGCATCATTATGTTATGAGTGGTGGTGAATAACATAATGGAACAGGTTTTCCATTGCTTCAATCATAAGCATTGAAGATAATTAGTTTGTGTCTTGCTTGTGTGTTGCCCCAGTGCGAAGAAAACCCCATTGCTGAGCCCGAATATTCTAATAGTAAGATTAATTTAAAATACTTCATCTTATTATTTAATATGGATAGGACTTATTCAGACTGTATTGATATAATAGATGAAGTAGAGAAAGTAGAACAAGTAATAATATCTGATAATAAAGTTAAAAATTGCTGTTATTATTCATTAGAATTAATTAAGTTAGGAATTCAATATCAAAAATAGAAATGTACATATTAATATAAATGGGGAAAAAAAGAAAAAGAGTAAAAGCAAAGAAAGACCAATGCCAGATATTGAAGCACGGAAAGAAAAAGCAGAAAGTGTTAAATCAGTGGGTGAAAGTAAATCTATAAAATGTGATACATGTAATCACGTTATGAATTTTAACATGAATTGACAGTAGATAAAAAAAGGTGGAGTTAAGGTCAGTTGTATTCCTTGTATGTTTTCTTATCAAAAATCAGATACAGATTTGACTATTAAGAAACAATCAGGTGGTGATATGGTGATTGAAACTGATGCACATTCAATTGATGTTAGTTTTAACAGAGACATAAGTTAGTATATAAAGAGTAGATTTATCACTACTTCAAACGCATAAATAAATAAATATCTATATATATAACTGTCAGAAAATGAAAGTTTTACATTTACTG